GTACCCTATCTCCCACTACCCTAACAATCGGGCAGAAAGCCTGTACTGCTAATCAACTCGTCAAAAATCAGTCTGGGAGCTACTAGAACAACACATGCTAGAAAAGTCAACACCACTCTCTTAGCACAACGTTACAACACGACGTTCGACCACGATTTAAAACAATCCGCATGTTCACGCCCAACCCAAACAAATAACTACATGGAAGGCGGAGAGCGTAAAGCGCTCACATCAATCCCGTACTGAGGTTGTAGGGGGTAGCTCAAAACTCCCCAAAGTCAACGCCTAAACACTTTGCATCGCCAAGTCTGCGGAAACGGGTGATATTCTTTCCATGGTAAGCAAACACGGATCTTCACGATCATGTACAAGTTGACTATATAGCAGAGCTAAGCGTTTAATCTTTTTACGCGTTAACGTTGGGGTAGTCCACCTACACTGCAGGAATACGAACTATAGATACAATTTCCAGCCATGCTTATCCAAGATTCTAAACGATGATGTTGCTTATAAGGCTCTAATCAAGACCCGGTATATTATGGCATGTAGAGGGTTTCCAAAAATCCTACATAAATATTGGGAGTTCATTACTTATATCACTGCGCATCCAGCTCCATTAGTGTGGTACGTTGTCTGACGTTTGAAGCATACAATACGACGCATTTCGAATGTGGTTGTTGAACCTCTGGCCAATCTGCGAGCAAGTTTCGGCTTAATCTTTATAAGTCAACGCCTAGTTGCATAATTGCTTCGTTCAGCAATGTATTTCAATCGTACATCGTTCGACAGTCCATAACCCTAGGAACAACGCCGCTCAACGCTACCTAGGCTCAACGCCAGTCAACACGCCTTCGATCAAAATTCAATTACATATTCAAGAACCTAGGGTTACGCGGTCAACCGCGTAAGCCCTAGGTCAACACCAGTCACACGCGTTGCGAGCAAAATCACGTACGACGGTTCACCAACCCTAGGGTTAACCCGGTCCAACCGCGTAACCTGGGATCAACGCCAATCCACTGCGTTGCAACGAAGAATGCAACACTCAAAAGTATAAGAGTATTAAAACTGCTTCCTAAAACTCCAAGAGTAGTCCACGAGTAATAAAACTGGTTTCATCCTCCGACCGGATACAAGAGGTTAACACTGTTCCCTGATACTCCAATAGGGTCATATGAGTATAAACTATTCCTGGTATTTTTGGTTTGAGAGCTTCGCTGGACGAATAGATTGTTTATATATTCTTAAGGATAACCAACAAACACAACCCTGACAACGCGTTGCACATAAAAACTCGACGCCAGCAATCGATGGTCAATTCCTCGAAGCTGAGATTCAAAAAATCAGGAAATGCACTTCCAACTTCAATAAAATTCCGACAAACGTCAGTACAATAAATGCAGCACCGGAACCCTTTTACAACGACATTCGACAAAGCACCAATAGCTGAAGATTCCGAAGGAATCAAGAACACAAGTCATTCCAAGGTCCCATTACAGCCGACTGAAGTGTCTGGGACATGATATCCAAAGTATTCCGACCTCTCTAAGTAAAAGAAGCGAGACTCGAAATACTTTGGAGGGGGTCACTCTGTAGGCATTAAAAATGCTTATAGTCCCCCTTTTTGCTCTTGCTCAGCTCGGCACGAACCAAGCACAACCAACGAAGACGCACGAGATTGACTAATTGCCGCAACCACAACGAACTACCGTCCATGTTGGCGTGCGGGGATCAAGCCCAAGTTTTCGAAGATTCAAGAATGTCATCCAACCCAAAGGCATACTCGACAATGACGACGACATCAAGATCGGTTTCGACTTCAACCTCAGAAGCGGATGATTACCCTGCCTAATCGGGATCCGGATTTCTGCCCAAATCAGATCCAGCAAATCGAATCGCAACCTATCACTACAAAACGCCGGAAAACGGGCACCAAAGAGGCAAAACACAAAACTGGAGGAACAGGCTACCGAGCCACCAAGGAGGCCGGTGGCCGACGCCACCAAGTGTGGCCTCGCCGAGCCCCACCATAGGTGGCTCGGTACCGAGCCACCTAGGTGGCTCGAAGCCGAGCCACCTTGGTGGCTCTCCACCGAGCCACTGTGTGTGCCGGGCGGCCACCAAAGGTGGACTCGCCACCACCGAGCCACCAGGTGGTGGCTCGTCGGCCGACGCCACCTACTCAGGCTCGGACCCACCGAGCCACCACATGGTGGGCTCGTTGGCCGAGCCACCTAAATAGGTGGCTCGGCGGCCACCTTGGTGGCTCGGCCCCACCCCCAGAGCACCCAACGATGTGGCTTCCGTGCCGAGCCACCAAGGTGGCCGCCGAGCACATTGTGACTCGGTGCCGCCGACACCTGGGCTGGCCATCACTGGCCCCAAGGCACAGTTAAGCGGTAGCCTATAAAATAGCCACCCCTTGTTATTGAGAGGTTGGGAAATTTTGGAGAGAGGCGAAGCCCTGCTGGATTGGAGACTCGAACTTAAAAAGATTGCAAGCTTGGCGACTTTCGGGACTCACTCCTTCAGATCTGGTGCTCGCGATCATCAACGTTAAATAATGGCAGGTGTTCGAGAGGATCAGGATCTCAGATCTACGCAGACATACTCCAGATCTAGCTTGGTCTTAGGATCCGAGACTTCGACGATTGCTTTCCTTGTGAACCATCCTCCCCGGCTATTTATTTCCTGTGTGGAAATAATAACACCGTCGTACGCGTAGATCCGACCGGGATCTAGACTCGCGGTGGTCCCACGGCAAATAACCCCGGCGCAGGCAAAAGAACCCACAAACGAGCGATCCGCAAAACAGGAGCTCGCGATTCGTTCGACATAAAGGTGAAAAGTTGTAAATCTTTTGTTTTATTTTATTTGATTTTCGTTGTATAACCGGATCTTATAAAAGACGGATCTTTGTAACTCAAAAAGTTGTAACTCAAGATGACATGAATCCAATAACAAAGAAGCAACGAAATTTCCCGCGAACTACCCTGCATGGAAGAATTTTGAACAAGTTACATCCAATATTTATCCAGGATCCTCGTAAATATCAGGCTCGGACTAGCTAGTGATGGCTTTTGCCCCTTTAGTTTTAATGGTAATCCACACAGCACATAGCCGGTTGTAATGATGATATATAATCTCTCACCATGACTGGCTATAGATCAATCGTATTTTATGATGCCTCTTTTGATTGATGGACCCAGTTCACCAAGAAATAATACCAACGTTTATCTCCGACCTCTCATCGAAGAGTTACGGTCTTTATTCATTGATTGTGTGGAGGCATATGATGCAGATAAAGGGGAAACCTTCATAATGCGTACAGCCTTAATGTGGATAATTAATCATTTTCCTGCATATGGAATGCTATCAGGATATTCTGTACATGGTTATAAAGCATGTCCATATTGCCACATGGATACAACATCGACATGGTTGCCTTTTAGCAAAAAGATATGTTATTGTGGTCATCGACGTATGTTGAAAGAAGACCATCTCTATAGGGATGATGATGTTCACTTTGATGGTACTACAGAGCACCGAGAGGCTCCAGTCCCCTTATCTGGAGCGAACATACTTGCTCAATGGAATGATTATGAAAATGTGATTTTTGGAAAAGTAAAGGAAAGACAGGAAAAGCCACAAGGATGGAATAAGAAAAGTATTTTCTTTGAACTACCGTATTGGGTGACAAATACAGTGCGTCACAATTTGGACGTCATGCACATTGAGAAGGGGGCATCTGAGCACATACTTAACTTGCTTCTTTGTAAAGATGGAAAATCGAAAGATAACCTACAAGCTCAGAGGGATCTACAACACTTAAACATTAGAAAAGAGTTACACCCTATACCTAAATTAGGTAAACCAGGAAAATTTGTACTCCCCAATGCCGTTTATCATATGTCAAAACTAGAAAAGAAAATATTTTTGGAGGTATTGCATGAGCTGAAGGTTCCTACAGGGTTTTCTGGATCATTTAATAAGAAGATAAAGACTGTAAAAGGCAAGATAGATGGGTTGAAGAGTCACGATCACCATGTTATTATGGAGCACCTTCTCCCACTATCCCTTAGAGCTTCGCTTCCTGAATCTGTTGGTTTAGTGATCAATGAACTTTGCAACTTTTTTAGGGAATTGTGTGCTAAAACCATTGAGGACAAGGAGTTGGGGAAGCTACAAGAAGCAGTTCCCTTAATATTGTGCAAGCTTGAGCGGATTTTTCCACCATCATTCTTTGATATTATAATACACCTGACTGTTCATCTTGCAACCGAAGCAAGGCTTGCTGGACCGGTACAATATCGGTGGATGTATCCTATAGAAAGGTGTTTCACTTTTTTCTTTGACACAACAAATATAACTTTTCTATTTTGTATGTTTTTTATGTAGTAATCTAATACTAGTATTTGTAGGTACCTTCTCACTCTAAAAAATTACATTCAGAATAGAAATCGGCCAGAGGGTTCTATAATGGAAGGTTATCTCCTGGAGGAGGTAACGACATTTTGTTCTTGTTATTTGGATGAAAACATAGAGACTAAGCTCAATAGGCCTGTGCGTATTCATGATGGAACACATGGCAAACCAACTTACACGACAATGGGAATCACATTTATTAATCAAATACATCAACTTATCCTCCTCAATAGCGTTTGTCTTGAGGAAGTTAGAGGGCAAGTCTATTTTGCATTTACTATTATATGTGTAATAATATAATGTTGATGTAACAATTCATGTTGAGAATAGAATTTATAAGGATGAATTACATGAAGAGCATCGCAATTGGAATGATGAACGGTTGGAGAAGCATCACCAAGAAAATTTTTGTGCCTGGTTTAAAAATTATGTAAGAATTTCTTATATGTCATTGTATTAATCTATAATTTTATCTTTATATTCCTAGAATTGGAATGATGAACTATTTTCTCAGGTCCAAGATCCAAACTCAGAATTAACATTAGATGATGATTTAAGATGTCTAGCTCGACATCCAAGCCTGGAGGTTGCATACTACAAAGGATTTGGTATAAATGGCTATAAATTTGCAATCAAGGAGATAGAAGAATCTCGGACTATCCAGAATAGCAGAATTGCGGCCATTGGAGCTGAAGGTTTGATTTACTATGGGTATTTGGATAGAATACTTGGTATTCGCTATCCGGGAAGAGCCAAACTAGAATATATATTTAAGTGTGTTTGGTATCATACAAGAACCGGACATGGAAAATGGAGAGACACATATGGGACTTGGAAAGATGAATATAGATTGACTAGTGTAAACACTAATCTTTTTGAGTTTGAAGACGAACCATATATATTCCCGGAACAAGCATTTCAAGTATATTACTCAAAATGCTTGAAGCATTCGGGATGGAGTGTTGTTTGTCGATGGAAGCCGAGAGATACCTACGATGTACCACAATTCGCGGATGTTGACATAGAGGACAACATTGAGATAGATTCTGATGATGAAGGACTTAGATTGCTACAACCTACTATTTCCATAGATGAAAATGTATCTCGAGTTGAGTGTGAGCATGAAGTTTCATGGGTTAGGAATGATTTCAATGACGAAATCATTGTAGATATTCCTACAACGTCTAAGGAGCCTGTTAAAAGAAAAAGGTAATAATCATTGAAAATATCCATATGTTAATATTTTCATATATATATTTACACACATGTAAAAAGAAAAAAGGTAATAATCATTGAAAATCATCTTGAATTTACACATGTATTGCACGCATCTCATATATATATTTACTCTTATTTAGGGGTTGACAAAAATGTCTAGTCGAGGACCATCAAAGTCCAAAACTTGACGGATGGCGCCTAGGAAGCTCTTGCATCAAGCGAGGGAGCGTCAGAGGGAGCTAGAAGGCGCTCGTCGTTCCATATCTATCCCTAGTGTTCCTCCATCTACATCCTTTTGCAGTGACAATAGAGAGATGGATCACATTACCCCGGAGTCTTCTTATAGGGTAGATTTTGCATCTTCCCGTGCAGGTTAGTAGACTTTTATTTTGATTCTTGTTTTGTTTGCATAATCTTTCAAAATATAGCACCTCAGCCTGAGGAGCATGATTTGCCGACCTCTACACACTCCATACCATCTGTACACTCGATGGGTAAGTATTATTTAATGCATTAATGTCAAATGTTTTTTGTTAATGCATTAATGTCAAATGTATTTTGTATTATTTTATCCAGATGGTACTTATATTATTACATTTTGATATATAGTTGGAGAGGATGCCTCTGCATCCGTATCAGCAGCTCGTCCTTTACATTTGAGAAACTATCGTCCTAATCGTGCTGCTAAACGTGCAGAGAAGCGTGCTACAAAAGCTGAAGATATCTATATCATTTGATTTTATTATTGTTAATATCCTTTTTATTTTCTAGTATCCTTTCTTGTTTCATATTTTTAGATGCAGGGCTACCACGGGTATGTAAGAAGACTCGGGGGAAGAATAAAGCCCATCGATTGGCGTCGAGTTTCGAGACAGATGAACCGGCATTTCCTTTGCATTTTGATGAGGAGTTTCGCATAATTGGGTCCAATGATGAGCGATTTGGGCATTATATTGGGCAGAAAAGCCGTCAATTTACGGACTTTCCACTTCATCTGAACTGGTGTGCGCATCATGAGCGTTCATTTGAAAACTTCTTCCTCCAAGCTAAGGTTTAGAGACATTTTTAATTTGAAAAAACAAGATAATTTAGTATCATTTGGTACCTATCTAATCTAAAACATTACTTTTGTTGAATATGCAGAAAGATTATGAGTTTTTGCCCCAAGATCCTTATTGTCCACTCAACCTTCCTGTTATCTACCGAGGCATAAAGACAAAGATGCAGGAGAGGGTCCGAGGCAATCGGAATCAGGTGAAGATGGAGTGCTATGAACTATGGTTGAAGACCCTAGAAGAGAAGAGACGTGCTCTCTTCCAGGAAAAGGTGTTTGAAGGGATTGATGAAAATTGGTGGGGTGACCTATGCTCGTTTTATACTTCTAAGAGCAAGCAGGTATATATTTAACAATAAATATGATGTCTAGTATATACTTAGTATCAGATTGAAATCTAATTCTTACTTTTATGTGTAGATGGAGGCAAAACGAAATAAGGTGAATCGAGAATGTAGGCGGAGGAAAAACGAAATAAGGTGAATCGAGAATCTAAGAAGCGAGGTCGAGCAACCTATACAGGTGGGTCGAGGAGCATAGTTCGAGCAAAACAGAAAGTGGTATAAAGTATTCTTTGAGTTTAAAAAAATGCATTTCTTTATTTATAATATGATATGTTATACATATTTTTTTTTTGTTGAGTTACAGAGAGCTCAAATCGAAGAATCAGGTGGCTCCTCAAGTGCCTTGAAGGAGTATTTGGGTACCCACGCGACATTAGTGGATCCAAATGGTGACACATACTCGTGTATATACCCTGACACCCAAACTCAAGAGTATTGCGTAAGTGTTCATTTTTCGACGAATTTAAACGATTTTCATAAGTATATTTATAATAATATTGTTGAGTAACATTTGAATACTTTACGTGATATAGGACCAGGTTATAGAAAAGGCAAAATCATTAGGTGTCGACCAAGAACCCAAGTTTGCCGCGATGACCAAAGTTTTAGATGAGGTACATGGAGGGCATCACGGCGGTTATGAGAGAGGCTTGGGTCATGGTGCCAGTAGACATTATCTGAAGACTTCCTCCACTCCGATATTTGCCACTCCTCCTGATGTCCTTCGCGAGATGGCCGAGCTTAAGTCCAAGATGGAACGACTTACCCAACTAGTACGTATGCAAAAAAAACCTCAATATTATCTCATTCCCTTACAACCTCAATATTTATAAAGTATGTCTCTTTCCTATCAATATATACAGATTCTTTTGTGCGCGCTTGACTAATCAAACCTATAAGTTACATGTGTATATACTTTGGCTAAATTAAAGAAAAAACTTGACTTGGCCTAGTCTTCATCATATTTTAAGTGAACATCATGTTAAAGAAGTATAAAAATCAGACATAAAACATGCATGTAATGTCTTTATCTTTAGATATATACTTCTTTAAAAGAAAATTAAAAATTAAAGAATCAGAGGAGCGATGGATTGCCGACTCTACCACACTCCATACCATCTGTACACTCGATGGGTAAGCTATCTATTTTAACTGCATTAATGTAGCAATGTTTTTTGTTAATGGCATTTAATGTCAAATGGTATTTTGTATTATTTTATCCAAGATGGTACTTATATTAATTACATTTGAGGTATATAGTTGGAGGAGATGCCTCTGCATCCGTATCAGCAGCTTCGGCGTCCTTTACATTTTGAGAAACTATCGTGCTAATTCGTTGCGTCCTTAAAACGGTGTGCGGAGAAGCGTGCTACAACGCTGAAGATGATCATATCATGCTTGATTTTATTATTGTTTAAATCCTTTATTTTCTATTATCCTTTCTTGTTCCATATTTTAGATGCAGGGTACCACGGGTATGTAAGAGGAACTCGGGGTGAAGAATAGAAGGCCCAATCGTATTGCGGTCGAGGTTTTCGATACAGATTGAACCCGGCAATTCCTTTGCATTGTTGATGAGGAGGTTTCGGCATATGGGTCCAATGATGAGCGATTGGCATTATATTGGGCAAGGAAAAAAAGCCGGTCAATTTACGGACTTTCCACTTCAATCTGAACTGGTGTGCGCATCATGGAGTCGTTCATTTTGAAAAACTTCTTGCCTCCAAAGCTAAAGGTTTAGAGACATTTTTAAATTTTTGAAAAACAAGATAATTAGTATCATTTGGTACCTATCTAAATCTAAAACATTTACTTTTGTTGATATGCCCAGAAAGATTATGAGTTTTTGCCCCAAGGACGCTTATTGTCCACACAACCTTCCTGTTAATCGTCCGAGGGCATAAAGACAAAGATGCAGGGAGAGGGTCCGAGGCAATCGGAAATTCAGGTGGAAGATGGAGTGCTATTTGAACTATGTTGAAGGACCGCTAGAAGAGAAGGACGTTGCTCTCTTGCCAGGAAAAAGTTGTTTGAAGGGAAATTGATGAAAATGGGTTGGGGTGACCTTATGGCTCGTTTTATACTTCTAAGACACAGGTATTATATTCTATACACTGATAAATATTGATGTCTATATATACTTAGTATCAGACTTAAAAACTAATTCTTACTTTGTATGGTAGCGGGAGGCAAAACGAGAATAAGGTGAATCGCATGAATCTAAGAAGCGGAGTGTAAAGGAAAGACAGGAAAAACCACAAGGATGGAATAAGAAAAGTATTTTCTTTGAACTACCGTATTGGGTGACAAATACAGTGCGTCACAATTTGGACGTCATGCACATTGAGAAGGGGGTATCTGAGCACATACTTAACTTGCTTCTTTGTAAAGATGGAAAATCGAAAGATAACCTACAAGCTCGGAGGGATCTACAACACTTCAACATTAGAAAAGAGTTGCACCCTATACCTAAATTAGATAAACCAGGAAAATTTTCACTCCCCAATGCCGTTTATCATATGTCAAAACTAGAAAAGAAAATATTTTTGGAGGTATTGCATGAGCTGAAGGTTCCTACAGGGTTTTTTGGATCATTTAATAAGAAGATAAAGACTATAAAAGGCAAGATAGATGGGTTGAAGAGTCATGATCACCATGTTATTATGGAGCACCTTCTCCCACTATCCCTTAGGGCTTCGCTTCCTGAATCTGTTGGTTTAGTGATCAATGAACTTTGCAGCTTTTTTAGGGAATTGTGTGCTAAAACCATTGAGGACAAGGAGTTGAAGAAGCTACAAGAAGCAATTCCCTTAATATTGTGCAAGCTTGAGCGGATTTTTTCACCATCATTCTTTGATATTATAATACACCTGACTGTTCATCTTGCAACCGAAGCAAGGCTTGCTGGACCAGTACAATATCGGTGGATGTATCCTATAGAAAGGTGTTTCGCTTTTTTCTTTGACACAACAAATATAACTTTTCTATTTTGTATGTTTTTATGTAGTAATCTAATACTAGTATTTGTAGGTACCTTCTCACTCTAAAAAATTACATTCGGAATAGAAATCGGCCAGAGGGTTCTATAATGGAAGGTTATCTCCTGGAGGAGGTAACGACATTTTGTTCTCGTTATTTGGATGAAAACATAGAGACTAAGCTCAATAGGCCTGTGCGTATTCGTGATGGAACACATGGCAAACCAACTTACATGACAATGGGAATCACATTTATTAATCAAATACATCAATTTATCCTCCTCAATAGCGTTTGCCTTGAGGAAGTTAGAGGGTAAGTCTATTTTGCATTTACTATTATATGTGTATGTATGCATGAAATAATATAATATTGATGTTAACAATTCATGTTGAGAATAGAATTTATAAGGATGAATTACATGAAGAGCATCACAATTGGAATGATGAACGGTTGGAGAAGCATCACCAAGAAAATTTTTGTGCCTGGTTTAAAATTTATGTAAGAACTTCTTATATGTCATTGTATTAATCTATAATTTTATCTCTATATTCCTATAATTGGAATGATGAACTATTTTCTCAGGTCCATGATCCAAACTCAGAATTAACATTAGATGATGATTTGGGATGTCTAGCTCGACATCCAAGCCTGGAGGTTGCATACTACAAAGGATTTGGTATAAATGGCTACAAATTTGAAATCAAGAAGATAGAAGAATCTCGGACTACCCGGAATAGTAAAATTGCGGCCATTGGAGCTGAAGGAATGATTTACTATGGGTATTTGGATAGAATACTTGGTATTCGCTATCCGGGAAGAGCCAAACTAGTATATATATTTAAGTGTGTTTGGTATCATACAAGAACCGGACATGGAAAATGGAGAGACACATACGGGACTTGGAAAGATGAATATGGATTGACTAGTGTAAACACTAATCTTTTTGAGTTTGAAGACGAACCATATATATTCCCGGAACAAGCATTTCAAGTATATTACTCAAAATGCTTGAAGCATTCAGGATGGAGTGTTGTTTGTCGATGGAAGCCGAGAGATACCTACGATGTACCACAATTCGCGGATGTTGACATAGAGGACAACATTGAGATAGATTCTGATGATGAAGGACTTTGATTGCTACAACTTACTATTTCCATAGATCAAAATGTATCTCGAGTTGAGTGTGAGCATGAAGTTTCATGGGTTTGGAATGATTTCGATGACGAAATCGTTGTGGATATTCCTACAACATCTAAGGAGTCTGTTAAAAGAAAAAGGTAATAATCATTGAAAATATCCATATGTTAATATTTTCATATTTATATTTACACACATGTAAAAAGAAAAAAGGTAATAATCA